CCGGTAGAGGCAACTGGCACCTCTACTGGCTATTCCCTTTTGCCCCCCTATAGTCAGGGCAATAGGGGACAATGTGGTCGGGGTCCCCACATTTGAGGCATTGGTCTGCTTTCTTTCTCTCCGCCCAAACCTTTTCTGTGATTCCCAAATCTTTCCAAGGCTCTCCTTCGGGTAGGCCTGGATGTGGTGGGTATGGTTTGCCCCACTTATTGTACCACGTGCATCTTCGTCTACCCCAGGTGGAATAAGAACCACGGCCACCTTGCGAGGGACCATTTCCCCTTCCTCCCACGTAGTGGCTTCCTTCACCACCACCCCTCTGGGTGCCGAATCCTCGTCCACCACGGCCGCGACCTCTTCCTCGGCCACGTCCTCTTCCTTGATGCCCTCCCCCGCGGGCTACAACAGCCGCGTAACTCCCCTCCTGAGCTACCGGTCTGTTGGGTTCATCGAGACCATAGTTTACCTGATCCCAGGAGATGGTCTCAGCGCCTCCTTCCTCAAAGGTTAGAAGGAGACTGTCCTTCCCAGGTATGGACCCTGAGATAGTGCGGTTTTGCCATCTTTTACCCGCTTGCAGATCCTTCCAGTAATGACAATAGTTCGCTTCGGCGAGGAAGCCGGCGTGATCTATTGCGATCTTGCCGAACTTCTCGTATGTCATCCCATCTTCCTTTGTACGGGGATAGAGTTGTGTTCGTAGGGGATCCGAAAGTGCTCGTGCAAAACTGTTTAAGATTTGGGCCGGCGTCAATCCGTGATCAGGGCATTGCAACAGTTCATCGTTGCCTATAATGCAGAGGTACTCTTCCATTTCCTATCAGGAAGGCTGAAGATTAACATTTATGTGCGTCGTGCCAAGTTCTTGTCCTCAAATCTTTCTTCAACTAATTTAAGAAAATCTTCGATTCGCGTTTGCTGCGAATACTCTACCATCGAACTGCATCCCACCTCTTTTTGCAGCGAGATGGCGAAGCTCATGGCATCGCCTCCCATGCATGAAGTTGCCATCAACACCTTGTCCCAGTATGGAATACGCTGCCCGTACACATAGGTTTCAATTGCTGCCGCCCAATGCAGAACACTTTCCTCCTCCTTTCCATTATAGGTCCACGACAGTTTAAGTTTTATCTTGTTCACGTGCCCGGTTCCCTGAGGAAGTTTTTTTTTTGGATCCCCAATCTTCTTCTTCCCTTTCTTGTCATCATCGCCATCGTCATCGCCATCTCCTCCTCCGCCTCCAGCGCCCTTTACTCTCTTTTGTATGACTTCGGGGGTGAAGGTTTTAGTAACGTGTTCATCTAAGGCCCTGATGTCAGTCTGAACATGCTGGTCAACGTCCTTTGCTGATTTTTCCAGGAAGTTATTCCAGACATTTTCAAATTCAACCCGATGTGTTTCTACCCTTTGCAAGGTCTGATGCATTACGTTCATGTCTTGTCTGGTGTTGAGGACGGCTTCTCTGAGTAGGGCGAGTTGATCTTCTGTCTCAGAGGGTTTTTCTTTTTGTGCTTCTAGAGCCCTTTGCAGTTTTTCCCCTTATACCTGCAGCCTCTTCTTTTCTTCCACTTCTTGCCGTCTTGCTGCTAACAACCTGCTGTTCAGCTCCGCCCTTTTCTCTGCTATGATCAAATTCCGTTCCACTACATCTGTTACGGTGGCCAGGTTTGCGACGAATGCATCCCGTTCCTCATCAGATTCCTTTAACGGTTTGCTGGAGTAGTAATATCGGGCAGCCCAGTCCAGTGGTTCAACTGGAAGTCTGGCCGCTGCAGCATCACTACTTTCAGGTAGGTCCAGGCGACGACGTCTTTCCAAAACTTCTCCTGTATCCTGTTCTTCTTCTTCTTCTTCTTCTTCATCTTGAATGCTCTTAAGTTCTTTTTCCAACTCTTTCTCCATCTTTTCTTTCATTTTTCTCTTTGCTTCTTCTTCCTTTTGTTTCTTTTTGGCTTCCTTTTCCTTCTTCTCTGCCAGCCTGCGGTCTACTTCTGCCTGTTCCGCAGGTGTGGGCCCAGGCTTTACTGTTCCAGACTTCAATAACATGCGGGACGCACAGACGCGTCCGAATCCCAACGGGAACATTAGCCGGAATATCGGGCCCAATAGGACATAGTCATCCATGATGACGACCGGCACAGGGGACCCTCCGCCGGATCACCACAGTACTATCCCTGTCCACGTCACTTTCGGACTGTGTGTTGATCTGCGGTGAATGGAGTACTGTACCACTTTTTTTTTTTATTAACTATAGAAGGTGCTGCGTAGATCAAACAATAGATCAAACTAACACAATTTGACTGTTTAGTTCTTTTTCTTTTGATATGCTGTCTGGCTCCCTGGCTCAAACTTTTGGCAATGTGTTTCTGGTGTCTTGTTTCCCCTGGATATATATAATTTTTGTTATACTAACTTGGTGGGTGTCTGATGCAGGTATGGAGTACAGCGCAGAAGATCAGATGCAGATGGTTAACTTATCCAACCAGGCAGGCATACTTCGTTCAAATGTTTCTTTCTATTGGGCTTAACAGGCCCTGTAGATGCTCAATATCATTCTTACTCTGCCTGGTACTTGCAATCTGATGTGGCAGATAGCCACTTCCCACATGACAGTACCCAGTCTGCCTATCGAGAGGGGTAGGGGAGTAGACTCGCAGAACACTGGACCACCTAATCTAGTGTGACCAGGCCCTCACACATCGCACTTGGACCATCCCGACTCTAGGATGACCCAGATCCAGACTTCGACTCCAGACCAGCAGCAGTCACCTTCAGAGGGTCAGAGAGAGGGAAGGTAGGGGACACACACATACATGCAGGTTCAGGGAAAGGAGGTGCTTCTCTCTTCTTGAAGATACCGCCGATGATGCTCCACGACGCTCCGCACGCTCCAGGTAAGTAGACTTCGCCACTTCTTCTTCGGCCTGCTTACCCAACCATCCAACACCTCTTCTGTTCCTCCTTCACTAATCCTCCATCACCACTTCTCCTCGCCGGCCTTGATCATGCCAGCGCTATGAGTACAGCGAGCATCTGCTCCGATACCAAAATTTGCATGGGTCCTGGGGACCATCTCACGCAAGTGTGTACATGTCATGCATCATCCTCACTCACGATGATCAATAGTCTCAAGTCATAGACAAAGGTAGATGAGAAGAGGACCGAATTTCACAGCTTATATTATCAGAAATATGATTACAAAGTGTTTCAAAGTTCCCCTGAGTCCAGCGCTTATCAGCGCAACACAAATCTCTTGTCAACTCATCAATATGGCACCCCA